AAAAGAATACTAATGATAAGTTAGTATTTCTACTTACTGAGTAAAGAACATAAAATAAAAAGAAAATAGTAAGGTCTTTGTTACACCACTTATAAAAAATAATGAAAATTTGTACAATTGAATAGACTCAGGAAGAAAATGAATACAGACTTCTTTCTATTTGTTGATTTCTGATAACTATAATGAAATAATCATTATTTAGCTTACTATAGAATTTGTATTTCAACAGGAAAGCTTTTCATAATTGATCTTTTTAAGAAGAATAATTATTTTTAAGAATAAGTCTTTGATCAAGAACACTGAAGTTATGTCAAAGCTAACTTTGCCATTTGATACAATGTCACAAACATGTTTGCGTTAAATCAACTACGTGACATTCTGGAAGAGGCAAAACTATGGAGACATTAAAAAGATCAGTGGTTGCCAAGGGTTGGGGGGAAGAGAGAGATGAATAGATGTAACAGGATTTTTAGGGTAGTGAAAATATCTGTATAAAAAAAAAAAGCTTCAGTGGTGTATACCTGTCATAAATTCATTAAACCCTTAGAATGTATAATACAACTCCAAGAGTGAACCCTAATGTGAACTATGGACTTTAGGTGATAATGATGTGTCATTGTGAGTTCATCAGATGTAACAAATGTACTACTTTGGTGGGGGTTGGTGATAATAGAGGAGGTGATGCATGTGGGGGCAATGTATATATGGGACATTTCTGAACCTTCCCTTCAAGTTTGTTGTGAACCTAAAAAGTATTCAAAAGCCCTTTTCTGTACTTTCATTTAGATCTACTACTTATTTAGAATACATAGTATATAAATGATACTAATATAAGCATACATTGCATAAAAAATATGTACTGTTAGAAACCAAAATCAGTACTTGGCAATTAAATTCTATGACACTTGGCTTCAAATAAGTGATATATTGAACCGACTCACAATTTTGAAAAAGAGAAGCAGAGTGAAAGCTGAGAAAGGAAGCAAAGGGAGATGACAGGACCTCTCTATAGTAATAGAATATGGTTAGTATGACTAGTAGCACTTGCTGTTTAACTTATTTTGCTATTAAATGTACTTTAGATTATGTCGTAATTCTCTAATGATATATTTAATGTTCATTAGATTTTGTTAATTACTGTAAACCACAAAATACAAAAAGAAAAGCTAATTGAGGGAAAGGCATGTTTGAATTAATAAGATAGCTGAATTATGAATGATTTAAAAAAGGAATATGGTTTTATTGTTTCCAAATATGTACAGTGAAATATTTTTAAAAAACATCAAGTAAGCAGTTGGATAAATGATTCTGGAGCTCCAAGTTGAGGTTAGGGATGTAAATTTGAGATGGTGTTCTTTTTTAGCTTTTCTTTTAAAAAAAAATGAGTTCTGTATATTTATGGTAAAACGGGATCTTTGATTTATTAATGAGAAAGGACTTCTGCCAATTTGGGGGTTAGTTAGATGTCATATTTTGAGCCATTATTAGGTCAGCTTAATATGCAGCCCACAATTTGAACTGATTAATCACAGCTTCAGTAAATACTGATTGAGTCCAGATAAGAGTCCACAGTCCTCTGTTGCTTTGGCTCATTCAGACATATTTACTTTGCCTATATTAAGGTTATAATACAGAATATCTACTTTAAATATAAAAGGCATTGGAATATATGTTTCTGTTTGATCTAGTCTACAGGAAGAAAAATAATTCAAACAGTCCCTGCTGTCCTAGTAATTTACAGGCTGGCAGACAGTAACCTTAGGAGAAAATAAGTGAAATTATATACATGGAAGAAGAGATAAGCTTTTCAAAAAAATGCAGTTAGTTTCCTGTGGTATGCTTGGGAAATGATGCAGTATTTCACATTTGAACTGGGTGCTTGAAAGGATGAAGCATAGCATGGAGGAGGCTGAGGGTAATGGGATTATAGGTAAAGACGAGTTGCATTAACTTAATGCTTAACTAGTAATTCAACTTACAGAAATTTATCATGACCTGTTTTATTTGAACTCTTCTGTAGTCATTAAATATTGCAGAGGCCTTCAGAAAATTTTTAAAAATTCAAAGGTGTTCA